CCTTGGAGGGGCCCCTGGGGGGCCCCCTGTCTGTTGCTTGTTGGAGTGGGAAGCCGCGCGCAGCCGACACCTTTCTTATGGTATCCCCAGAAGCCCAGCAGCAGCAGCAGCAGCAGCAGCTTCAACAGTCGAGTTCTGTACTGCAGCAGCAGGAGAGTGGCTCGATGGCCCCCAAGTCTGAACCGTCTAAACAAGGGTCTTTGCTGCTGCAGCAGCAACCTTCCAGCACAACCCTTGTACACCTTGCACCTTCTGCAGCTAAGAAGAAACTGCTGCAGCAGGAGGCCCGTAGGAAGCAGCAGCAACGAGGAGCAGCAAGAAGAAAGGGTTCTTCCGGGGCCACCCCAGGGAAAAACGTAGCGGGGGCCCCCGCTAAGGTGCAAGCAACGGGGGGTAGACAGAAGAAAATAAATAACAGCAAGCAGAAACAAAAAACAGAAAAAAAGAAAACAAACAACAAAAAGACAAGCAGGGCAACATCACCAGCGGCATCACGAGGCACAGCAGATGGTGCGACGAGAAAAACACAGCTGAAGCAGCAGGTGCTGCAGCAGGAGGGGGAGCAGCAGCAGGAGCAGCAACAGCAGCAGGAGCAGCAACAGGAGCAGCAGCAGGAGCAGCAGCAGGAGCAGCAGCAGGAGCAGCAGCAACAGGAGGAGCAGCAGCAGCAGGAAAGCAAGGCCGCCATCTTCTATGACTCTGCGGGGCGGCCGATGCGTCTCCTCTCTTCGGGTCGGTTTGAGCTGCTGGTGCCGTATTCCCCAGCAGCAACAGCAGCAGCAGCAGCAGCAGAAACAGCAGCAGCAGCAGCAGGCAGCAACCCTTGTTTATTGAAGGTTCGTAGAGAAGCTGTTGCTGGTCAAGAGGGTTTATCTGCTGCTGAGGAGGGTGTGTTTGTGCGTCGGTTCCCGCGGCGTTGCAACCCCCCCATTGCATGCAGCAGCAGCAGCAGCAGCAGCAGCAGCAGCAGCAGCAGACGAGCAATCCCTGTGAAGGTTCGGCTGCTGCAGAGACACCCCAAGCAAGAAGCAAAAATCCTAGAACAAGTCACCAGGCCCCCCACACCCCTAGAACAGGGCGTGCTGCACTTCAGGCTGCTGCAGGTGCAGCAGCAGAAAGACAGAGAAACAAGAAGAGCTGTTGCTTACGAGTGGAAGGCTTCGCCGCCACCACAGATACTCAATACACAGAAAAAAGAAGAAACAAATACACGTATACACACTGCTGCTGCTGCTGCTGCTGATGCTGCTGCTGCTGCGGATGCTGCTGGGGATGTCACCAGGTCAAACTCAGCTGCAGCAGCAAACAGCACTGCAGCAGATGCTACTGCTGCTGCTGCTGCTGATGGTACTGCTGCTGTCTCTCCTAATAGCCAACAGCAGGACGAGCAGCTGCAGCCGCAGCAGACGCAAGACATGCACCAACAATACATGCAGCAGCAGCAACAGCAGCAGCAGCAGCAGCAGCAGCAGCAGCAGGAAGAAATGCAGCACTATCAACAGAACTGGGATCAGCAGCAAGC